GTATTTTTTTTACTTCACAGAGACAGATTGCTTTTAGAAAAAGATATAAAGGAATTAAAACCTAATACCATTTTGCCAGTTACTTTAAACTACATTAAAATTAATGTTTTTAAAACTTAAAATTTANTTTCTAAATTATTATATCTAAATTTGTTTATATTGAATTTTTATCCAGTTGAAAATTTCAGTTTTTAACATCAATTTTTCCATCAGTATGTAAAATATTTTCAGAAAAATAAAATTCGGTGATAAATATTCTTATTTTCAAACCTTTCTATTTTATAGAAGTATATCTAAGGACCACTTTAGTATTTTACTTGTTGGACAGCTTTAGCTATTAAAGTAAATGTTTGGAAGGCCTCACAATGATATTTAATGGGGAAAATGTGGACATGGCTTGAATTCTTGATTTTATAATAACATCACTTTTTGTTATAGAAGACTGTGAATTATATTCAGTTAAATTACATATTCATTTAAAGTTTGATTAAAAAAGTAAATAACACGGATCTAGAGTTATGAAAAAATTTACTAAACATTTGAAAACTCTAATATAATACTGTTTTAACATGTTGCCTTTTGAGTAATTGAGTATTTAATGTTTGTTTTGTAATTCATTTTGTAACCCTATGGTTACCATTCATACTTTCTAGATATAATTAAATTAATGGATTTTTGATTCAAGAAAACTCGAAGAGTATTACTTTTGAGATAAAAAGATGATGATTTTTGTAATTAAAAAGATTTTAAAACAGATGATATTAGTATGATTTAAAATATATCTTATAATCTAATTCAGTAGAACTGCATGGTAAATATAAGCTAGAAGTCTAGAGCATAAGATATATTTTTAACAGGATTGGAACATAATGCTTTAAATTTTTTTTTATTTATATATTTTGCATGTGAATATTATTTCAAATATTGTTAGAAAATAAATATAAATGGAACTAGATTTAAAATTTTTAAGTTTTGAATTAAATGCCACAAAAGTGATGGCATAAATTTTAAAATTCTACTGATTTTAAATGTAATAAATGTGTTGAGACTTGAAATTAATTTATAGCATAGAAAAGTTCAAAAAAATATATACATATATAATATTGATTCTTGATGAAAAAAGTATAAGAGGAGTTGAAGTTTGTCAGTCATAAAGCTTATAATTTGATATAGAGTATAACATACAATGCATAAAATCCACATGATAACAATTTAGAATGTAATATATTAGATTATAAGGAAGCATGACTGGACTGAAAATAACAAGTATTACAAAATAATCAACATTTATTTTGCAATATAATTTTATCAAATGTTTTTGTATGTATAACTACAAGCTTCTTCAAGAAATTTGAAATACAATAACTTACTGAAGCTAAAAAACTTATTGGTATTAAATAGTAATAGTAAATATATGAACAGAACATAAATTCAAATTAGATATTGACAACCAAATGTGTTTTTTTACTATAAAAATATTTTATTTGCTATTATTCTCAGATACATGAAATATGTTATGTTAATATTATTTCGGGAATAAGATGTAGGATTATATGCTACAAATTTTTTCATATTATGGTTTATAAAATAAGAAGGGATTTGTTTCTCTGTAAACAAGACTTCTCTTCTGAATATCTACACTTTTTTCCAATCATTTTTTTTTTCTTTTTGTTGAATCTATAAAATTTATTATAGATAAAAGCATGAATGCCAGTAATATAAATATGCATATGTATAAAATAAAAAAAAAGGACTTTAATGAATGCACTTCTTTGATTTTTATATATTTATCTGGCTTCTATAATAATATCGCTAATCATTTTAGTTGTTTATAAAAGTTTTTTTTTTCTATTAAGAGTGTCCAAATTGGATCAGTTCTTTGTTAAAAAGTTGGCAGTTATAGCCCTTCAGATCCTGTCTGTGATATAAGTCTTATGATATAAAGAAATATGTAACTAAAACCAGTTTAATGATGGGGGAAAACAGTAAAATACATATGTACATTTTAACTAAATTTCTGAAATTATTTCGCTTACTTTAAGCTTATTTTAATTTTTCTTGAATTTTTTTTATTGATAATGAAAATCTGACAATATGTACTCTTTCATATGCAGCATATTTTCTTTATAAACAATAATTTTTAAGATATAAGATGAGGTGTGATCTTATTAATATGGAGAGCATCATCTACAAAAGTTAGTACCAGTCCTGTCACCAAAGAGAGATATGTTGTGAACTTATACATCAGGCCATAGATGCAATAATTCATCAACAAATAGATTGTTTAGAGGTTTGCAACCAATTTCGTGTCACCCAATGAAGTTTAGTTAAAGAAAGCAAGGCCGTGTTAAAGGAAAATCGAGAATTATCTTTCTTGGTTATAGAAAGCACTTCTAGGTTGAATTTAATTCCTAATAAAAAAAAATCAAATTCTAAATAAAACTGTTATGGTCAATGATAATTAACTTATTGACTGTGAATACAAAAATTAATTAATTTTTAAATATAATATTGTGCATATTTTCTCACATTTTAATATTTTAACTAGCATTAAGAACAAAGTTGAAGAGTTAATAACTGAAATTAGCATTTAATGCCACAAAAATTTATATTTAAATTTGAATGTTGACTTTTTAAATAGCATTATATTTGTTTCATTTAATCTTTATATAATAGTGTATTAAGTCTAGTATACTACAGTCTTGTTAATAAATGGATTGTTTAAGAAATTCTCAAGTTATATAAATGAAGAAATTAGCATATTAANATATTTTTTTAAATTTTAGTTAAGTATAAACATTTATTTTATTACTGATTGACATATCTATGCATGATCTATAGATAGTATTTATAGCTTCATTGGTTTTTGAGATATGTTACAAATCATTTAGTCAAGACAAAGAAATTTTGGCAGTATAATATAATGTTAGATTTTGAAAGTCAACATAGATATCAAACTAGATAATTATCATATTTGATTCACCGCAGGCAAAAATAAAAAATATACGAATGCAAAAATGATGCAAATGAGATTAATAATAATATGTTATTCAGATTATTTTTATTTTAATTAAAAAATTTTTCAATATAATTTTTAAAATATATTCTAAATACTGACAATTCAAATATACAATTAATGCATAATTCATTTATTGTTTCCATCGAAACCAATGATTAAATTATTGATTGGACATGGCCTTCAGATCAAGACTACACAATGTGCTATAGAAATATCTTACATATATTAATTTTCTTTATCATTATACACCTTTAGAAAACTAGGCACTTAAAATGCTTAGATTTTTAAAACAATACTAAAGAATCTGATCCTTTGTTTTGAAATTCTTGATAGGTTTTATTGGTTACTAAAATTCATTTTTAATTCCACTGAATAATTATTTAGCAATTAAAGAAAAAGAAATCAATGTTAAACTGTATCAGGGTTAAAGTAGTCCTGAGTCAATTAGCATTTCTAACAAATTTCTACCTTGGAGTGTTTTTATGTACGTAATGTTACGGGGACATTTAATAACCTTGTCCTAGTTTCTTGACAGGAACTGTCAATATCTCAACACTGTTATTAATACCAATGGTACTGGTCAGCTTGATGAATTTATTCCACTTAAAATATATTTTAACTTAGGCATGTTTTAATGCATTTGATAAATAATTCATATTTTGTTGAATATCACAATTTTCTATAGTAGTGATTTTAAATATGAAATTTTTAGGAATAGAAACAGTATGTAGTTTATAAAGATACATTCCCATATAAAGTTTAAAATTTTATCAGAATATAAATTTATATGTATTTTGTTTACCTCTTTTTAAATTTATCATTTTCAAAAGGAATAGTATTGTTAAGTTATTTTTTACTTGGGAATAATTTAATTTTATACAGAAATTTATGAGAAGGATTAAATAATAATTAACATTAATAATCTTAGTTATAAAAAATTCATCATAGCAATTATCGTTCATGTTGTTAGTCTATATTAAGTGTGCTAGGCAGTTATGATATGCGACTTGACCACCTGGAGTCTCTTGATACTTTGACCTCTGTACTGAAAATGTCAGTGGGGGTCGTGAAATTTAAATGCTCTTTTTCTGGCATTGGTATTTATGAGTCCCACTCCTCATACATCACAGAAGAAAATGAGATATCTCCATAGGAGCTGACATTGTCATTGCTCATCCCACCTTAGGTGTCTGTCAGTGCTGTATACAAAATTCAATCATTTTAATATAAAATTTGACTCATTTTGCATTTTTTTTACTAGGATATGGTGAAGATAAGTTTTTTGCACAAGATTCTTTGCTTGTAGAAAAAGAAATTTTGCTTATTCAGAAAATAAATACGGAATACAAAATATTTGAAAATAGTTGAATTCACAAATTCTTTATATTTTGAACTATTAAAAAAAAACTAAATTTTATACATTCAGCTGTTACTTGTTATTTAGTTTATATAAATTTTTAAACAAAAATAATTTTTTCTTTCCATAATTACTCCATAACTTTTAATTGATAGCTGACTTGTATATTTTTAAATAAGTTTTTTAGGAAATTTTAATTGATATGATTTCTCAAATTAGAAAAAATTAATGGAAATTTTGTCTATTTGACAAATGATTTATAGGTGTAAAGTCAGTGTCTCCATGCTACCAAATTATTCTTTCATTTCTAGACTTGTTTATGCAAATAAGTGTCAAATGCTATTACAAGAATGTTCAAGGTTGATTGATTTTACAATAAGTCAAATGTGATTTTCATTCTTTACAAGTTTGTTATGAGAAACAAGAAATTTAGATATTTTTATTCTGTTTACTAAAAAATCAACGAGATGTTTTAATAATGTTTTTATAAAAGAAATGTTTGAAATAATAGTAAAATTTATTGTAGAATTTTTATGTATAGACTGTAGAGAAATATCAAGTAAATAACAATAATTGTTGTAATTTTAATGACATATTAAACTATATTTAAAATCTTTATTTCAGTGTGTGATATTGGAACTTTCAAATCATCCATTGGTGATGAAAAATGCTCATCATGCCCATTACATAGCACAGCACCATACACAGGCTCAATTGAATGTAAATGTGATGATGGCTATTATAGATCACCAAAAGATCCTAAAAAGCAACCATGCACAGGTAAATATGTTTTAAGTGTCTTTGTATTTAATTATAAAAACAGAAAAAAGTACTGTACTTCAAAGATGTATAGTATTTTTTTTCTATTTTTAATACCGGTACTAAAGATTTAAATATTCAACATAAAATAGATTTATATAAAATTATAAGTGTAACTTATTGAAATAATTTCATTAGAATCTTGCTGTTTCAGAACCACCAACAGCTCCTCAAAACTTAACAGTCAGTTTCATTGATCAGTCTACTGTAGTATTAATGTGGCAAGCCCCATCTTATCTTGGTGGTCGTAATGATACTTTTTATAGAGTAGTATGTGATGCATGTGGGAATGCAGTATCATATATTCCTTCAGAAAATAAATTTAATGAAACTAAAGTAACAGTTAGTGGATTGCATCCAGTCACAACATATAGATTCCAAGTCTTTGCCGAGAATGGTGTTTCAGAATTTACTAAAAGCAAATATACCGACATTACAGTTACAACCGAAGCATCAGGTTTGTGAGAATTCTATTATATAATGTAAGATTAAGAGATCCTTTAATTATTTCAAAAGTATTCTTTTGAGTTGTAATAAATTTTAAGTTTTTAATTGACTATAAAAAGCAATTTATTAACTAGAGTTAACTGTTGAAATAATTTCAAAAAAGTGTTTTTGTTAAATTTACAAAATATACTATATAAAAATTATTTTCTTGCGGTAAATATTTCTTTTAATTTTCTATTTTTAAAACTTGTAATCTAAATTTTATTTTTTCTTTATGTAAAAAACTGAATTATTTTTGAATTGTTTGTTTTAAAACTTATTTAAAATATATTTTAATTAATATAAAAATATTTTAGTTACATTAAAAACATTAATGTATTTCTTATTAGTTTTTCATAAATTAAATTCAATTTTTTATATTTTTATGAAGCAATTTTATATTATTTAGTTTCCTATTTAAATATATTTTAAACAAAATAAACATAACAAAATATGTTACATAAATTTGAAAATGGGTTAATGTATTATATAATTTAATCAGTAAAATAAGTTCAAATTATAATACCACATTTTCATAAGCATTATAAAAAGCTTAGATTGTAAAAACATTAAACTTTTAAAATTATAAATATTGAATTATTGATTTATTGTTCTTTTAAAATTTTTCACGCAGTTCCATCTGCTGTTGCTAATGTAAGGGCAATCTCGGTAAAAAGTACAGAAATATTATTAACTTGGGATCCACCAGATGATCCATTTTCTGAAATTGAAGTCTACGAAATACGTTATTTTCAACGTAATTATGAAAAGAATGCATCGAGTATCTTGACAAAAAAAGAGGAAATCTCTTTCACCAATCTCAAACAAATAACTGAATATGGCTTTCAGGTAAATTCAGCATATTGAATTTATTTAATATTAAAATAAAAATATAAATCTGGGTTTACGTCTTTTGTTTTAGGTTCGCACAAAAACTACTCATGGATGGGGAGAATATAGTCGACCAACATATAAGTTTACAGGGCAATTAGTGAGTAGCCCAAGTATGTATCAATTATTATTTAAATTGTTATTGAAAAAAAAATTTTATTAAACATTATATTGCAAAAAAAATTATGAAATATTTAACTAATTTTTATTTATTTCAGCTCCGGTAGAAACTGATGATCCAGTACAAGTACCAATTATAGCTGGAGCAACAGTAGCCGTAATCGTATTATTAGTTGTCATAGTGGTTATGATTGTTTTATACATCAGAAGGTATGCTTATTACATGTGTATATATAAATTTAAAAAATTATTAACAATGAAAACAAGTTGCTGTGTTTCAGGAAAATTATATATATTATTAACATAACATAACATTTTTTTCATTTTCAATAAACAATGTAAAATGAATTTATAATTATGAAATTAGTATAATGGAATGTTAATTTGAAAAAAACAAATGAAATAGAATATTAATATATTATCAAATTACTCAATCAGAAAATTATGGTATATTGTTTAAAATATACCATAATTTTATGTATAATATGGTAAAAATATGGTAGATTGTTTAGGCCAAAAACCTTAAAAGGTTTTTGGCCTAAACAATCTATAAATTCTCTATACCTGAAAATCTAAAGGCTTTTTATTTTAAAAATAAATATGACTAAAAATCCATTCTTTATTTTCTAAGAGGATCTTTGTGACTGAATTCTGCAGATTCTAGCATGATGATGTTTTATCACTGCTGACTTCATTGTTTCTCCTCCTTTAACAACTGTTTTTATCACCAGTTAATGAATGTATTGTATGAAGAAGCTTTAGAAACATCTCTATTTTTGGCTGAAAAATCAAGTTTAAAGGGCTTATAAGATGAATCTTCTAATATTTTAACCTAAAGAAAAAGTGTTAAAATATTTAATAAAAGCAATTTTATTAGAAAAAATTTTTAATTTAAAACTATAAAATTTAAATTTAAATCTTTATATGAAATTATGAGTTGGTATTTTAAAATAAATTTAATACTCCATCAAATTTGTTTATGAATACATTTTACTAACTTTCAATGTAAATGCATTTTCATTTTGTAGGAAATATTTTGTGCAAAAGTAATATATACAGGATGAAAAAGTCACTATGTATCTACGTTATGTTGTTTGTATCAATAATATAGATGCTTGTGAGTTTATCAGTCTGTATAATGTGGCTTTATACAAGAATATGACTGTCTCTGTAACATATTTTTATATTAATATTATGATCATAAAATTTCTAATGATTGTATCATTAGATCTATTCTAGTTTGTACTTATAAATTTTATTTTATTTTTAGTGTAAGTGTATATATATAAATGTTTTCTGTTTATTTGAATAATGGACTAGAGAAGAGAATAAAAAAAGTTCAATGACTCCCATTCTCTTGTTTGGGGCTGCTGAGAGGATTATTAAGTGCTGGAACAAGACTAATACAGCCCCCCTCAACTACACATGGACACATAAATCAATGTCATAATTGTACATTTATTAATTTCATTCAAACATACTTGCAATTATATTAAAAAGAGGACAAGTACTTCTGTAAAACATAATAAAAACAATAATGAAACAATATACATAAATAATGAATTTAATACTAGATTGATTATAAGCTCATAACAGTTATTATAGTTGAAATGTAATGGCATTTGTATTCTGCTAAACAAAACGTGCTTTCCTAGCCTTTTTCCTGAAAAAATTGCAATCACATCATCAAAATCAATCATCTTTGCAAGATCAGACTCAATACTGAGTCTTGCCAATTCTACCGGTTATCCTGTGACATAGTTGATCTTAGATAATGTTTTATCCGCTTTAGTTTGCTGAATGATCACTCTGCAGAGATGAGAGTGGTAGAAATTATTAACAGAATACAGAGGCAGACATATATTTTTGGAAAGAGTCCTTCCAGCTTGTATCTTTTCAAGCAATTCAGTAGCTTCAATGGACTCAGTTGGCCCTCTCCAAAATTTGCTTGATGAACAGATGGAAATGACTTATCTCCATTACAAGATCTTCACTGATATCAGCAGGATATTGATCTGTGTTAGTTATGTGTGTTAAACATTGCTCAGGAAGATAAATTACTTTATTCAAAAGACAAATAGAATTTATTTATTCTATAACAGATTGCCCTGTTCTGTTCTCACATCACGTCATGTATGGTACAGTATTGCCAGTGCTCAACACGTGATGAGCAAAAGGTTATTGTTTAAAACAAAGAAAAAGTACAATAATCTGCCAGTAATTTTGATTTTTCTTTTAATTCATCTTGAGGAATTGATAGGTACTTCCAGACGAAGCTGAACTTCTCAGAAATGTTCACTGCAGCATTTAAATGAACAGTCAGTCTACCAATAACATTATCCAATTATTACATTATTACATAGAAGACAGACTTTTTGAAATAGGCTTCCTCGGGATTCATCAAATTCATCTGTTTTGACAAATCTACTTCTTCTGTAGCACCTTCGTCGTGGAACCTCTTTCTTTTGCATTTTATTTCACCCTGAGTTCCAAAGAGTTTCTATGCACTTCTATGCACAAATTAGAAGCAACATGCTTAGCTTTGCTCCACATACTTTTCCAGCTGTTCTGAAGATTTGTCAATTCTGAAATCAAGTTTTTTAAGTTGGACACTTCGACATCCAGCACTGAATTTCTGGACTGAACTGGAACTAATACTCAGTACCATACAACTGACATTCAGAGCTGGCCCTACCATAGGGCAAACAGAGCAGCCACTCCAGGTGCTAAGTCCTAGAGGGCACCTCAGTGGTAAAGAAAATTAAAGGGTGTAAATTAGGGGCAACCAAGGGGGGTGCCATAATAGGATCTTGCTCCATCCTAAAACTTGCCTCGGGCTGGCACTGCTGACATTATCACACAAATGAAGGATGTGACATAAGACAAAGCTCCATTAATCTTTGTTCTTGTTTTGACAGTTAGGTTCAACTCCAAAAGGTTTTCTAATACTAATGTGAAGCCTGGCAAATGGGCTACAAAGGGCTTTATAATTTCAACATGGTCTGACCATCATGTTGCCTCTATTTATTAATCTCATCACGTTTCTGTTTTTCCTTGCATTTTTGAGCTTCAGATTTTCGAGATACATTTCATAACCATTCATAAATTGAAATATATTCATAAACAAAATGAAACTAAACTTGCAAGTTTTAATAAATAAGTAATGAAATTAAAATTTAATACATTATATTAACTGTTCACTGAGTGTTCAGATTGATAAAGGTTATGTTAAACAAAACTGCCTTGCAGTTTTGCTATACACACAAAGTATAGATTAAAAAGTATATATTGAATATTGTTTTTCTTTTTAAAAATTTGGTTTTGTAATAAAAAACAAAATTTTCCCTTCATAGGCTCCCTTTGAGCTCCATGGGCCTCAGAACAATATACTGGCTGCACCTCCCTCTCCTCAGGCCTCTTGTTACATCTTTATTTGAACAAAAACAATATTACAATACACATTGATCAATCTTTTATTTTTCTACATAATCAAGTTTTTAAAAAAATTTGTTTCAGCACTGCATATGTTTTTTGATGTCTGAAGAAATCTAGGCCTAGTCTCTTAAAATACTTCCACATCATTGTCTAATTAAAAATGCTAACCTTGCTGAATGTCCTTCAGTTTGGGAGCAAGATCTGGGCTGTATGGGGAGAGTCCAATTGTTCCCAAGTGAATTTCTTCAAGAGTGCCATAACATTTTTGGCAACATGTGGCCAAACATTGTTATTGAGAAGGACCACGCTTTTGATACAGGCCTTTTCTTCAGAATAATTGCCTTTAACTTTTGTAAAATTTGACAATATCTTTGTCCATTCACAGTTTTTCAACTTGAGCATCTCCATCTTTGCAAAAATTGATTTGAGAGATTTGAGAGAGCCCACTTTATACAGATATGGCTACAACGTTTCATCAATTCCATTTAACCTGAGGTGTGGTTAGAAAGGTGACAACTCGAGACAATTATGGAAAAGATGTAGCTACATTTTCACATAATTGTAGCATCAGTATTTATGTTACAATAGTCAGGAAAAACTGTCAAATATTTTTTATTCTCTCTTATATTATTTAATATAGACTATTTTCTAACAAAATTTGAAACAAAAATTGTACAATATATAAATGAAACTGTTTTCTACAGGAGCTGCATTTGTTTACTATAACATAAACATTTACATTTATTTTTGCTCATCTTCAGCTTGAAATCACAAATGTTCAAAAAAGGAATTTCCATTAGAAGTTAACATAAATCATACAAATTGTCCAAATAAACAGAAATAACATTTTAATATAAGATAATTTTTATCCATGGTTTAAATACGAAATACTTTTTAACTAAAGACATTATTATTTTTAATTCAGCCAACTGAAAAAAATGGAAAAATAAATTAAATCTTACAAGTCTATTAAAAAGATAGAAAACTTAAAAGTTTTGATCTACAAATTAAGTTTTGTTTCAATAATATATTAAATACTTGCTATTTTCCTATTATTTGTAATATAACAGAAAATTACAATTTTAATTGATGACTTAGTTTTATTATTATTATTTAAATATTGTATATAAATTTAAATCTTGCTTTTATATTACTTTTCAGTATCATATTGTACATCTTATTAATTTTTTAAAAATAAATTTTAATGCTATAATTTCTAGTTAATTAATAATGATCATTTAATTGTTCATTAATGTGCAATGTATAGGGAATATAACATGGTGTATCTTTATGATTTTTTTAAAATTTATATTCCATAAGTAATTAGCAAAATACATTACAATCAATAACAACACAATAATATTAAGTTACAATTTTTAAAACAATTTAGTCAATCTGAGAGACTGTCATCAATTATAAAACCACTATAATTTAGGCAAATTTTATAAACAATTTTAGCTAAATTTGTCTGTATGCACTCATATTACCATGATTGCAAATGTTCTTTTATTTATCTTTCTAAAATGATAAAAGTCTATATTAGGTTTAATAATTACAATTATGTGATATTTAATTATTGAATTTGCTATTACTAGAATTTTCTGACAAAAATGAAAGTTTTATATTAATTTAATTCAAAATTATTTCATTACAGATTAAGATTTAAATTTCCAATTAGTAACTTAGAACACTTAATAGATTTTTAGTGTTTTTCATTGTCTTTTGCATTAACGAAAAAAATACTGAATGAAATAAGCATTAATCATTGTACTTAATATTGATCATATTTATTTAATTGTAGTAAGATATTTCTTAATGATGTTTAATAGAATTTTGTCACTCTTGAATACATCATTAATCTTCCAAAGCAACTTTTATTGCAAAATCCTAATTCTACTTTTAAATTGCACTTTCTTAATAGTGTCAAAACATCATTGAAGAGTACTTTTATTACATAATTTTTAAAATTAAGAAATGTGAAGAGAAGAAATCATTTAATTACTGTAAAATTTCCAACAAAATACAATAAACTTTTGATTGTTTAAATTAAATTAGAAAAAAATCTGAGATAATGAAATTCCTTGCCATTCATATAAAATATACAAATGCTTAAAATTTTAGAAAATATTGCAGTCCAATGTAATGGTACTCATGTAAATTCATTCAACATCTAGTATTAAATATTTTTATATATGAAATCTGTAGTTATATTGTAATTTTAGCAGTTATGTTGTACTATCCCATATCTGTCATGTTGCCTCTATTTATTAATCTCATCACGTTTCGGTTTTTCCTTGCATTTTTGAGCTTCAGATTTTTGAGATACATTTCATAACCATTCATAAATTGAAATATATTCATAAACAAAATGAAACTAAACTTGCAAGTTTTAATAAATAAGTAATGAAATTAAAATNTATATATGAAATCTGTAGTTATATTGTAATTTTAGCAGTTATGTTGTACTATCCCATATTTGCACTTACTTTATTTTCAGCATCTTAATTAAATTACTTTTGTATTCATCTAATCATGGATAATAGGAAGCTGTTACTCATTTATTATTTAGAAGTAATTGAATTAATAATTGTTAGAGCAATAAAAAATTCATTTTTTCCCCCAATTACTTTAAAGATTAAATTCAAGACATCTGCAGTTGATGAAAAAAATTGAAATACACTCACTGATCAGAGTAGAAAATCTTGAATATTTTCCAGTAATATGCCTGATTTAAATAGGTTTATTATTAATTTGTTACTTCAACTGAGTTTACGAAACAAAAATCTTGCATATTTTCAGTATTATGATTAAAATATGAATGTATCACATTCATCTCTAAATAATAATTGATTTAAATTAATTAAACATTAAACTTTAATATAGTGATTATACATTCGACGATATTTGTTTTAAGATAAAACATGTTGAAATACAATATTTTTTTTATTATTTAAAGGACTAAATTTTCAATTTACTGTGAAATATTTTTTCTTTATCTTTTTTAAAAAATAATTAAAATTATTTTTATATTTCATAAAAACTAATATTTTATAAGTAACCACAATTATATTTTAGAATAGTAATGATAATATATTCGTTTTAAAATATAATTTTAAAGCTTTCATTTTTATTTAAAGGAGTTCTGATGAATGCAATAAGAAGCAACCAAGTGATTGTGATACTTTAGAATATCATACTGGTGAAGGTAAAAAATGTAAGTAGAATATAAATATTTAAGTATCTCTGAAGCAGTTAAGGTAATGAATATCTTCAATAAATAACAAATTTAAATAACTCAATATTAATTGTTATTAATTTAAATACATTTCCAAAATTACATCAAAACTTAAAAATATTACTAAATAAATAAAATTCTAAAAAAATCCAAAGCTAATATTTAATATTTTAAATGCATAATAATTCCTATAATCTAACTCAATAATTATAAATCTATTAATGCTGCTAACTTTTGCGCTTTGGTAATTTAAACTATAACAATGCTAATTTACTATACATTTTATGCTTTTTTAAACAGTAGTAACAGCTTTAGATCATCCTCCTATTGTTCCTACTGCTTTGTGTAAGTAATTATTAAAAAGTAATATTTTATAATACTAAATGAATATTGCTTTTCTGCTAACATTAAATAACAACAAAATTCCTGTTGTTGTTATAAATTAAGTTCCCCACATGACCAAGTCTATCCCCTTTCAGTGACAACTCCCTTGTTTACTCACTGTGCAGCTACCCGATCTTACGTAGATCCACATACTTACGAAGATCCAAACCAGGCAGTTCGAGAATTCACAAAAGAAATCGATGCCTCACATATCACTATTGAAGCAATTATTGGAGGAGGTAAGTTTATAAAAGTTAAAAAAATAAATTACATTTTCTAATACATAATCTACTAATTGAACATTTTGTAATTATCAGGTGAATTTGGCGATGTATGTAGAGGCAATTTAAAAATTCCTGGACAGCCAGAAATTACAGTTGCTATTAAAACTCTTAAGCCTGGTTCATCAGATAAAGCTAGAATGGATTTCCTGACAGAAGCCAGCATAATGGGGCAGTTTGATCATCCTAATGTTATATATCTACAAGGAGTAGTCACTAAAACTAATCCTGTTATGATAATTACTGAGTATATAGAAAATGGATCATTAGATACATTTCTTAGGGTAACAATTAAGAGTAACCAAATTATTTGAAATAATGTGTATTTATATAAATTTATTAAATGTTTTTAATGTAATTTTAGGCAAATGATGGAAAATTTCAAGTAATACAATTAGTTGGGATGTTGAGAGGAATTGCAGCTGGAATGCAATATCTCTCAGAAACTAACTATGTTCATAGGGTAAGTTATCATTTTAAATATATATATATGAATAATATAATATTATATATATATAATCTTAACACTAATATTTTTACTAATTTTCTACAAGTTTTTTGATAAGTTCTAAATATTGTTTCTTTATTATAATCTTGTAATCATTTAAAATTCCAAAATGTGATCCAAAAATTTAAAAGAATATGAAACTTTATTAAAGGAATCTGGAATGCAATAATTTTTACAAAAAGTTATTCACATTATTATATTAAAAGATTAAACACTCACTTATATCCTCAACAATGTAAATTAATTATTTGATTTGTAATGGTTTAAGAATTTACATTAGTTTTGTCTTAAAGTAATTACACTTAAATGTGTTTACTGAAAATCTGGTTGTCTTGGTATAATTACTTAGTGAGTTTTATTTATATTAAGTTACTGCAGTTCTCCTACCAAATAATGATGCAAATAATGTATTCTTTAATTGAAGTAATTTATACATGATTTTTAAAGTAAACAAATTATTATATGGATTACATAATGACATTATATAATATAAATAATTTGATGGTACCAATACTTCACTTGAGACTATTTTATATTAAAGTTTTAATACAAATTTTTAGTTTTCGTTATTGTGTACAAATGAATCACTTTAAATAATTGTTTATATGTTGTTTAATAAATTAGTTTAATATTTTGTCAATAGTAAACAATTAGTAATGTTTATTTTCAATTAAAGATTAATGACTAAAATATTTGTTTAAACTGTAAGATTTCTAATTTATTATTTTTTTAAAATAGAATCATAGGAAAAGTACATGAATATATATAACAAAATATTCATATATTATTCTTAGAAAGATAAACAAAAAAGTAAAGGCATTTTAAAATTTTTATTTCAAAAACATTATTTATTGTAGACTATTCCATGAATTATATATGATGAATCTATATTACTTCACACTTGCATTCAAAAAGACAGCAAATTCTTAATTTAATACATTGTTTGGTTTTAGACAGACATAAAAATGTATCTTTGATTATGCATTTTAAATATAAGAATATAAAAGACATTACAAAATTTTTTCCAGTTCAGCTTGAATTTCATTTTTCAAACTAATTTAAATGAACAATGTTATCATATTTTAAAAATTATTTAAATGAACAGTAATTCATTTTAAGTAAACAATTAAATATTTCAATAAAATTGTTTAGTTTTAGATATAATGAATTAATTACAAAATTTAAAATAATTGTGAAATAAATTATTCTTATTCAGCAATCAGGATAAAAGTAACTGTTATAAAATATTAAAATGGCTGAATTTATTATAAAATTAAATATGAATCAATGCTATTTTCAAAATCTTCTGAAAATTGTCTCCATGAATTGAGCTAATTTTAGCAGCAATTGCTATAATGTTGCAATTTAGAATACTCCTACTTGAAGAAACTTGGATATGTTGACCACTTCAAGTTGATATTTTTAGCAACCACTTCCATTAGTACAGAGTGCAGACTACTATACAAATCTCTTTTCTGTCTATAGTTCTTGACTGACATGACTAAAGTAAATATATGATTTTATTATTTTCATTTAACAATTATTCATTATATTTAGTAAACATAAGATGATGATTATTATTATGACATTTAAATTTTAATAATTTTATCTAATCATACAAAAATGATTAAAACTATTTAAGCATTTAAATGATTTATTTAAATCTATTTTGGTACTTTTAACAAATTGTCATCAAATACAGATCAATCATATTTTTTACTATTGAAAATTTTGGTTTGAAAATGAGTCAGATCTTTGTTTTTTTCAAGTTTTTATATCTAAATGACATTCAAATCAATACACAGTATTTTCATACCAAATAATATAATTTATGCAGAGTATTTTTATGGATGTTTACTATTGAAGGATAAAATATTCAAAGTAAAAGTAAAATGAAAATTTTTAATAAATTTTACTAATATTTTTATTGGTTTCAAAAAAGCTTGAAAAGTTTTTCAAGATAATTTTCGGAATATAAGACTAATAAACTTAATGAATGGAATGAAAAGGAATTGATGCTGAAGAACATTGATATTGTGAAAATAAATAAGTGTAAAGTTTATTTTGAAAATTTTTAGTAAGTATAAACAAAGAGGGAGATGAATAATGATAAAGTTTGAAATAATATAATTGCCAAAAATTATGCAAGATGTGGAAAATAAGCAGATGCTATATTACTATAGATTTCTGTCTAGTGGAATATAAATTTCTACTTTAGCATTTAATTAGATAAGTAATATAAAGAGCATATTATATTAATATATTCTTTATATTATAGCAATATTTCAGTAATCAGAGAATATTATTGCAAATACCTTGGTAATGTACAGCATAATATCTTTTCATCTGAGCACATTCAGGTATTCATTCAAGCTCAAGTAATTTCTCTTTGGCATTTGCATAGAGAAAAATATCAATGGAAGACAAATCTGATGATTAAGACATTGAATGGCTCATCTTTAACCTATCCAGTGAATCCTATTTGCAAAATCCAAATAATTAATTGCTGCTACATTATGGAGCTATTTCATCATATTTATAACTGCAGTTTGATAACATATTCAAAACTGTCATGTTAATACTTATTTTAATTTGATGCTCTGCTTCTTGGAGTTATAAATATGTCAAAATAGTTATTCTTGTTAATCTATTTACACACAAAAACTCAATTATTCACTGTCAAAGTATCAGTTATACATTCCAGAAATTGTCAAGAAACTTTAGAAGCATTTCCCCTTTAAAAAACCAGTGTTAAAACATCAGCCTAGTTAATTAAGAACTTTTTTCTTCATATGTTTACTCAAAGAATCATCTCTCATTGGGTTGTACCAACTAATACAAAACATCCTACATCACTTGTATAAATAGTTGTTAAATTCTTTCTTGTATATATAAACATAATTAATGTGATTTTCCAATTTTAATTAATTAAAATAGATTAAATATATTAATATTAAAAAACCATAGAAATATTTATGTTAATTTAGATATAAGTTAACTTCATTTTCTGAATTTGTAAGTTGCAAATTTGAAAATATTAGAGATTATGAAGTAAAATAATCAGCTAGCAGACAATAGGGCAGATCCAGTCGGCAGAGAGTTTTTGTTTTATTTAATGATACCAAAAGTTCAAGTTCAAATTTTTGTTTTTATAAATAGGGATAAAATATCTTTTAATTCATTACTTCACATTTTCCTTAATAATTATTAATTATAAATATGATAATTAATTCAAAGTGGATGTTTAGGAAAATAACAATTTATATTTATCTTGACTTATCCTCATTTATGTCAAAAAAAAAAGGGTTTAAAATACTGAAAATTTGATAGATTGGTTTAAAAGTAAAATATTATATTAAAATTTAAAAATAATATTTAAACTTTTCTAATCAAAAGCTACATAAAGCTTGTTAAGTAAATGAAGAATTGTTTATACAACATTCCTAGCTCGACAAAGATATTCCTTCTCTCCTTATTTGTTGATTGTCAGTAAAATACTAACTAAAGATCAAATATTTATTTCATTAAGTAAAAGTTTTCAAAATTATAGTATTGCAGTTGAAATGATAAAAAAATATTTATCTTTTATTTATTGTATTAATTAATAATTATATATTATATTTGTTATGTAATATGAAGTATTTTTTTAATTTCACTAATTATTTATACACGAAATTAATGACAGTATAAACTCTTTTTATAATTTAAAAACAGACAAGAAGCTATACCCAATTATTTGATTTTGGTGAAATAAGATAGATAAATTTTAAATAACTAAAAACTTTTTGCCCAACAAAAAGAAATATTTAAATATCTATCTAAATTAATTTATTCAAATAAAAATTTTTATATTAATGAATTCTATCATCAAATGACTTATATTTAATATATAATAGCCAAATGGAAACAAATCTTGCTAATTTCTGTTTTGTGATGTTTAATCATTACATTTATGTTATTTAATGATACATATGTCACATAATCACATAGAACATTCATTTTTATATATTAGAATATATCATAAATATCTTATATCTGTCATAAATAGAATATAAATTAGTTTTTCTAAATAAAATTAAGATTCTCTTAGACATTGTTTTTGACAGTCTTTTTTTGTGATAAAGCAAATAGCAAAAACACAGTTGTTATAAATACATCTATATCATTAAAAAAACTAAAAATATTGGTGTAAAATTGTAAAAATCGACTAATAGAAAATTAGTTAAAATTTAGAAATGTATTTGAGAAGACAAATATAATTATATTTTAGATTTCATGATACTTATGTGCCCTCTAGCTATGGGAAGTAACAAAATCACTTATAACATTTATATCAATCTTATTGATAGATTTAACACTGGCAATTGTAATCTGCTAATGTTGCCTTATATAATTTAATTTCTAGGAAAAGAATTTAACAAAAATACAAAAAACAATATTTGCTGTTCAATTTTTGCACAAAATTTTTATTTTATTAAGAAATTCTGTGATAAATAGTAATTTACTTATTTTAAGCTTTTCATCTTTATATGTAACTATTCTTCTTTAAGCTCACCTTGCTTAAATATTATTTAAGACTTGTCATACACCAATGATAAGACTTTTAAACTGTAGTGTTGTTAATTATTTTATTAACAAAAATAATTCCTACAATTTATATTATTACAGTATGCACAATTTAAAAATCCTATCATTGGTTGTATGATAAGTTCTAAATATATAAGCAAGAAGGTGAGCTTAAAGAAGTACAGTAATTTATTTTATAATAAATTTAATTCTTTGTAAAAAATATTTTCTGCTAGTATAGCAAGCCCTCAATTTAACTGACAAAAAATTCCTGTCCTAAAAGTAAAATTTATAAATTATTTTTGTGAATAGAACACTATAAGATAGCTAACTGAGTATAAATTACTCAATGTACGTTATATTATTTTACTCATATTTATATACTGCAA